CTCTCTCTCTCTCTTCTCTCTCTTCTCTATCTCTCTCTCTATCTCTATCTCTCTCTCTTATCTATATATATATATATATATATATATATATATGTATATATATATATATATATATGTATGTATGTGTGTGTGTGTGTGTGTGTGTGATATAGAGCACTGACTTTGAATAATCGGTATGGGCATATGCTTATCATATTCCAACTGTGATTTGACGGTTTTGAAGACGGTTCCTATGCCTTAGGCCACGGTTCCTATGCCTTAGGCCACGGCTCCTATGCCTTAGGCCCGTTGCATTTTGATGGCAATGGCAAGTTATGTAACACACATTTAATACATCTATACTACATATTGCAATACAGACTCAAGTATCACCGCATTGCCAAAAAACTGACAGGCACCAACACTTAGCAATAATACCACCTTCACCGACTAAATGCTCTGCGCCTTAATGATGGCTTTGGTGTTGCATCGTTTGTGGTACCTTTGCGGAGGGTTTAAGAAGGGCTAGTATCGTCCTCGTCTGGATAATTAGTTAGTAGGTACACATGTGTCTCCACCTATTTTGATATGTACATACCTCCAAATCAGGCGAAGACGGCAGCCCAAATAATTAGGTATTCCATTCGTGTTATGATATCTGTCATGATTGGCAAGGTGTTTTTTTTTTTACCTCAATGATATTTAACATCCAGCTCACAGAATCACACTCGCTATACTGCTTACTATATCAATACATTAATACTTGCAGCTATGTATTTACCATTTATAGCTATATGCGATTTTCATTATTTTAACGACCTAGATATGACTCATCTACATTTTGAGTAGTATACTCAAACACCGTATTTAAATGACACTATATATCTTAACCATACTGATTTCACACCTATTTCAGAACCGACGTCCCGAGAGACGGCCGACACGAGACCCGTCCTGGAGGCGCAAGGCATACCAGAAGCCTACCGATATATACGCTAAGGCATACCAGAAGCCTACCGATATATACGCTAAGGCAGCCCAGAAGCCTACCGGTATGTACGCTAAGGCATACCAGAAGCTTACCGGTGTATACGCTAAGGCATACCAGAAGCCTACCGATATATACGCTAAGGCAGCCCAGAAGCCTACCGGTATGTACACTAAGGCAAAACAGAAGCCTACCGATATATACGCTAAGGCATACCAGAAGCGTACCGGTATGTACGCTAAGGCATACCAGAAGCCTACCGGTGTATACGCTAAGGCAGCCGAGAAGCGCGACGCGTCTTTTGAAGACCAACAGCGCAGACTTACTGCTCAATGCGACCAGCCCAAAATGTTCCAAGAAGCGTGCGCGCTAGTTGAAGACGAAATGCAAAAATAACCTGAGGTCATGGAGTCTGACCTATCGCCTCAACACACGACCACCATTAGTAAAGACGCCGAAGAGCACTGTGAAACAAAAAGCCAAGGCCCTTGTCGAGATAAGCATGTTTTTAAAGCCACGCAGACCATTTTGCCGCAGGTTTTTCTCCACATTCCGAAAGAAACCGCTGTCGAAAATCACAGTATTGCTGACGGTGATCCACAGAACGTCCGAGGCTCGGCACTTACCAGGTCCCGTGGACTGAACGTCCGAGACTCGAGCACTTACCAGGTCTCGTGGACTGAACGTCCGAGGCTCGGGCACTTACCGGGTCCCGTGGACTGAACGGAATGAGTTGGACGTAGTCAATGACAATCTGGGTGTGTGACGTGAGTATAGCCAGCACATCGCTCTATACCATGTTGACAAAAATAATTTGAACATCAGAAACTGTAAAGTTGATGCATCTTTATTTAATATCTTATTCACAACAAACGGCTCAAAAGGCCATTTACGGTGCAACGTGGCACAGTCGTTGAGACCACAAGTAAGCTTTTTGCTTTAAATACAGATTCATGTTTCAGGAAAAGATCTTGTTTTTACCAAGAACGCCGATAACAAGGAAAAGCACGACATAAACATACAGTTCACAGGCAGTTTTTGGAAAGGCATCCTCCTAAGCTCGCGTCGAAACGCTACGAAGCTGACAAATCCACATTTAAGGACATCACGTTTCGCACTTAGAACGTTGGAGGCGCGCGCAGAAAATCTGACTGCGAGAGCGCTCTTCCGAAAAGTAGTGGTCCATAAAAGCGAGCCTATAAAGCCACGAGACTTACAGCAGGTGGAAAACCTAAGGCACGAGGTTTAACGACGGAAAGCAAACCAAGCCTCCTCCTCTGTCAACTTCGGCTGTTCTTGTGCTGACCCTTACCTAAAAAGCTTACAACGCTGTGTTGCTGAGGGCAAAGCAGATTTCCATGGAACGCGTTTTCTACGCAAAATATCTTTCACAGATAGGTACATACTGCTTCTTTGCATCGAAAGGCAGAAAGTTGTCCGTAGGCCCTGTTGTGACCCCAACAAATATTCAATTTTCAGTGCAGAACACGGCGTTCAACTTGGCTGAATTTTACGTCACCGTGTCCAGCTATGAAAAACTCAGCGTCACTTCAAATGATACACAGAAGCATCCCACATCGCTAGGTCCAATCATAGTTCAGGTGAATAGAGATAGGGGCACGTATTTGGTCTTTGCTTGCAAGCTCCGCCAGTTGGTAGATCATATAAAGTCATTGGTTTCATATAGTAGCGACAATGACGAGGCACTCCAAAGTGCATTTAAAACATGTTTTCTCCACGCTGAACCATGCCTCTGTCACATTCATTTCAGGCATAATTTTGAGCGTAAGTTTAGTGATGTGCTCATCGGGGTATCTGAGCAGAATGTGGTTTTAGCAGATCTTTTTGACCAAAATGGTTTATATGACCGATGCCGATTTACTCTCACAACACCTCGAGACATGCATGGCCAAGTGGATAAGTGCCATGGTCAAAAGCGAGTATTTTTCGAATTGGCTCAAGAAGTACAAATTTGACATCTATGGTAGAGGATTTGTGGGTAAGAAATTTTCTACCAACCGCACTGAGGGCATAAAAAAATGTTATTTCTGTGCCATCCGATCGGCAACGTCTCGGCATCAAATGCGGCTGCCTTCACCGCGAGTGTTGAAGAGGAAGATGAAAATTTGGGACCACCAATTTTAGTGCGGCTGACGAAATCGTATGTTCTCTATTTCCTGGTGAGAGTGCCATTTAGTTTGCTTGATCCAAATGGATTTCCGAGTTTGGACTTTAGGTTTTTTTTTTGGTAATTGGACTTTAAGTTTTAAAGTAGATTGGGATAAATTAAAACTGCAATGCGCTGAAGTGGTTTATGCGTTTTTTAAGGTGGAGGTGGGAACCTGAGGTCACCACTTTCGGAACGGGTGATGAAATCGCACGCGCTCTATCTTCTGGTAAAAGCTTCGAGCAGATGGGGTGAGTGCCTTCTGAGCCTGGACTTGGCTGCAATGCCTTAAAGTGATTTATGTGGTTTCTGAACAACAAGCAGAGTTTCATTTTATTTCTCTTACTTTCCTATAATGTCATTAAAACCAGGTACATCGCTTTTGTTAGTCGGCCTGTTCATCATTCACATGTATATCAATTCAGATTTGTGCTGGAAGTATTTGGTGCAGCTGGTAATGGGGGCAGGTAAAAGGGTACACCATATGGGAATAAGCATTGGTCTGCATTTTTTTTTCAGTTGCTACTTTCCGCATGTGGTCGCATGCCCTAGTAATGTGCACGGAAAAGAGGTGCCTTACCAATGCTCTCCTCACAACGGAACATAAGACACGGGAGGCGCAAGAGATTGCATTAAAAACATGGCTGGGACAATGTTGAGCATTCTTGGCTTCATTTCCCATCTCAGATAGTTGAAATTTCACTAGAAATGCACGAATGTCATGCCGCAGTCTACAAAAACGTCCGGGTGGGGTGGCGTTTTTGTCTGACATAAAAGTTGCCGTATTTTTACACCTACGGCGCGGTGTTGCGCCAGAAATTGTTTCACGGAAAGTTTTTACTTATCAAACCGGCCAACTGTCTGCTTTTTCGTGACGTATTGTCCGCTCCCTTCTTTTTACAAAAGCGTTTGTAATATTCAGCGGCGTAAAATTAAAGAAAAAAAGAACGTCGGTGGCGATCTTGCTATAACATTGGCCACAGCCTTCGTGTTCATCACTGTCTTCATTAAACTCTGAAGTGCCTGCCTGATATCGATCAGAAAAGCCCACTGAACTATTCCAAAATTGATACCACCAGCGGTAAAATTTCGATCTGGTCATTTAATGATGTGTTCATGCAGCTTATTTGCTTATAAACACATGCAGAATTGGACCGGTCAGTGCCTTTGGGATAACATTTCAGTAAAAGATGGAAAAATACAACGTAACGCGAAGAAGATTGGCCACCCCCGGAAACAAGTGGACAAATCTGGTACTATTTTAACTGGGAGAGGATCCTTCATCAACCTACTTGCCCCCTTCCCCTCTTACCAATGCTCTGGCGACGCCTCTGGTCGTGTGGCCCTGGAAGCAGTGTGGTGTTGCATTCATCTGTGTCTTGGTTGCATAGAGACCTTATAGAAAATTTGATCTGTCGCCGTGGATACAAACGCGCCGTTGACCTGTGACATTCACTTAAAACGTGTTGAGTCATGCAACATGGCATTGATCCATGCATCATTTTCGTTGCTGGTACCATTTTAATATTGAAAATATCTTTCAGATCACCTGTCTTATCGGGTACCTTTAGCATATCCACTACACCTTCAATTAGTTCGGAAATATAGCTGGGTTAAGTACCTGCGATCTGTGGTACCAACATGACTTTTGGGTTTTACATGACAAACTAGACGTTCCGGCATAGCCCTCCTGCCTAGCCCTCTCGCTCAGCCGTCGACTCGGAAATAGCTGCTCTGCCGTGTGCACAGATGAAGTGGTTCATAGCGCTCAGAACCTCTGCTGATGCGGGTTGGCCAGCTGAACGCTGGCCGTTTCCTGTCTGGTGTCCGCCGGTCGCCAGCGTTAAGCTGCTTCTCAACACATACGGAGCGACGCCAGTCTGTATTTGAACACATTGACATTCGATGATTTCGCTGTGAACTGCTCATCGTTCACAAAGCTCCGATGCCCTGGATTCCAAGTGGGAGGGATTCGACCGTACACTGATCCCCACATCCAGGATTGACACTTAATAGGGCACCTTTATCGGAGGCATCCTACACAACGAAGAGGATTTTTCGATCTGACAGCATGGAACATCGAGCATCAGTTTTGGACATCCAATAATTGGACACTCATTACGGTAGAGCTACACAATCACGGTCCAACAGCATCATGTGGAAAGCATGAAAACTCGTCACGACGTTGGCGGAGAACCTGCGATATGGGCTGAAGTCATGAATTGTGCCCCAATCACAACTACCAACTGAATCACGGATATATGAAGCGGTCTTCTTTGCATATCCTTTCACGGAATTCTACATAACTGTCCACACAAAATTTGTTGCCCATTTCCAGACACCAAAATGACGATCTCATTGATAATCGGCAGCATTGTTACATTAATGTCTTTCATGCAAAAAATGTTATGGAGCGCAATAAGGTTTTTCACGGCGCATGTCGCAGGTACAGAACAACGACCGCAGACCAGACCGTAGAATGTTGGTCTGCAGTCGTAAATAAATCCAAAATTGTGCCACGAAATCACACTATATATATAATCACACTACATAAAGTAGATTTCTTTGCCGCTTATAATAATGCAATCATATGTAAGTGGATTTCAGCATTGACCGACTGACAGAAAGGTACAGGACATCCACACTACCAATCTATTTTCCTACCCCACTTTCTCCATTTTTTAGCAGTACAAAAATCCCGAAGTGCTTTTGCGCTCGTTTGAAGAAGCCACGCCTTGGCTGCTCTGGTGGCCCAGATGCCTGGGCGAACTCCAGCCGCAGCGGTATGGCGGCCCCCACGGGCGCGCGCGACTCAGACAAGCGTCTCACGTCTCTCCTGCTGTCAGCTGACCGGCCGCGAGCCGCGACGGGGTTGCTGCCCCGCGGCCGAGCTCGGCACTATTTGGCAGCGCACGGCGCCGTTCATCGCCAGCGTTGCTGTCATCAGTACCGTAGCCGATGGCGGTGGAGCCGGCTTCGGCGACGATAGGGTGCTGGGCTTCTCTATTGTCGGTGAGTTTGAGGCCACCGACACCATCGAGCGGAGTGGAGACCTTGCTTCCGAGCACGGAGTGCCAGTCGTCAGATCTGGACCCTGCGTCGTCAGGTCTGGACCTTGCGCCGTCAGATCTGGACCCTGCGCCGTGAGATCTGGACTCGGCACCATCAGATCTGGACCCTGCGTCGTCAGATCTGGACCATGCGTCGTCAGGTCTGGACCTTGCGCCGTCAGATCTGAACCTTGCGCCGTCAGATCTGGACCCTGCGCCGTCAGATCTGGACTCGGCACCGTCAGATCTGGACTCCACTTCCTCAGGTCTGGGGTCCTCCCGGTCACATCTGGACTTAATGGTGTCAGGTTTGGAGACCCGTTTGCTGGCTTCGGGGCTTCCAGTGTCCTCTCCGAAGTCACCACTGTCAGGTCCGGCACAGCTGTTGGTAGTGCAGCCGGTGGCTCCGCCGGTGGCAGCGGCGGGAAGCTTGGGTCGTAAAAGGTGCGAACCAGGTAGGTGACCAGAGAGCCTTTTCCTTTCACCTGGATGGGCCCCCTGCAGTCGAGCTTGTAGCCCGCCTCCAGCAGGATCTGAGCAGTCCGTGCCGTGACCTGATGTCAAACATGGACGTCAGACGGCTCGCCACGTGAGGATACAATTTCCCACCCCAGTGGCAAACGGACGTTGCGATATTACTCCCATAATGATGATGATGGTTTGGGCTTCGTGGCGCATCGACTACGATGGACATATGACGCCCGTAACTTACTATTTATCTAACAGATGCGTGAAAAAGCAAGGAGATAAGTTCACGTCCAATATATGGCATGGAGTTGTGCGTTTTCAAGACAACTAAAAATGTGACCATCATTTACTAAACTCGAGTTGTCTCACATCATACCATGAAACGTTTTGGCGCACGGACCCTGATCCAAAATGGCGCATGCGTTCCGAGGCGAGGTGGCCACAATCTATCAAGACATGTCGTACGGTGTAACGATCTCCGCAGCGAGGACGCCGCGATTGGTCTTCCCCACATAACAGGTATCAGTGAGCTGCGTATGAGTGTCCTATTATCAGGCGGCATAGCGTCACTTCATCCCGCCTCACCTTACGGTAGCTGGACGCCATGATCCCACCGGGGCTTTATCTCTCTCAGTTTATTGTCAGCATGCACATCCCAATTCGCTTGCCACTGCTTCAACATGAATGCAGATATTTCTGCATACAGGTCGTTAGCAGATACTGTCGATGCGAGTGGGGATGCGAGTTGCGTGCGTGGACGTCTTGCTATGGCATCAGCTACTTTATTACCCGATATACCAACGTGGCTCGGTATCCAGCGGAATACCACTTCCTTCCCAGATCGGGACAGTGTAGTAAGAATACTTAAAATGTTCTGAAAGATGGGATGTGATGAATCCAAATCCTGCAGTGCTATGAGGCTACTGAGAGAGTCCGATAAAACTAAGTGACGATCGTCGCTGTCAACTTCTATGAAATGAAGTGTTTAAAAAATGGCTATTAGCTCGGATGTGAAGATCGATGCGTGACCAGGCAAAGAAAAAGACCGTGTGACAGGACCCTGCACACAGGCACATCCATCGCCGGCATCCGCATTCAATCGGTCCATCTTCTTGTGATCCGGGCATGACGCGATCTACTCCAAAAACCTCAGCCGAAACTCGTGCGGGGACACCTAAGAACTCTGTACATCGGGGATATGCAAAAGCAAACAGCGAGTACAAGATGAAGCAGGACCACTGCATCGGAGCAGCATCATTAATTTGCCCTACATGTACTTATTTGCTTGCATGATCACATTTGGCAACTTATTTGCATGCTGCCGATATGACCTTTGCCCATCGGCGATGTTCATAACTGAGCTGGATTCTCCCAGTGGCCCTGCAGCGCACATGTATCCGTCCAGAGACAACGCAACTGACATGTAATTTTTCAGTGGTCCTGAGCTGACCTGCGCTTTAGCGGACGAGCCTCACTGGCAGCCGGACACCGTTATTTTTTCATGTTCTTGATGTATTAAGTCCTTCCTCTTTTGCTGCCTAATCCCACGAACATGCGACAAACACAAATTTAGTGCTATTTCAACATTTGCTGCTTTGTTGGGGTGGAATTCAGACTCACGGAGCGGTGGGTTGTTAGTTCTCAGTTCTCAGGAGCATGCAGGGGCGGATCCAGGATTCCGTCAAGGGGAGGGGGCATGCAACATTATGGGGCCCCTGGAGCTTGGGGCCTCCTCCAAAAAAGATCCTTGCATTTCGGTCATTACGTTTTAAGGCTAGTCGCATGTAATATATATATATATATATATATATATATATATATATACTTATTCATTTATCTAATTGATACGGAAACCCATATTACTGTGCACGCCCTTATAAAGCCAGGCGTGCTACGCATGCATACACATAAAGCTCACTCATTTTCTACGGGTTATTTTAAATGCCGTGATTTTGAGGCTAAGTGTTTCAGAACAACAGGCAAAATAAACTTGGCTGGCTACTAACAACCACCAAAAACAAGCACGGACCCTGTGGCTCGGTATCCAGCGGAATACCACTTCCTTCCCATTCTTAGCATATGTATTTACGGTCAGCCGGCTGTGCGATGTAATCAGCTGATAGCTGATGACCTGTGCAGAATTTTTCCTTTCTTATGAAAGAATAAAACATATCATAGCTTTCAAAATATGCTAACAACATGATGCACTGGTATAATACGCGGCACACAATCAATAGCCAGTGAAAATAACACACGACGTCGGCATCATCTAAAATTATGTCCGGTAATTGCGCGTAAAAATTCATACGCGCATATTCGACTGCTTCTCTAAGACGAAGGCGCCAAGGGCAATAGGGACGGAACATGAGCGATCATGGATGCGCAGGAGGCCAAGAAAGTGACTCCCGTCAACAAGTGTAGGGCCTTGAGAGCAAGCAAAAAGAACCCAAGACCGACGTGGTGGGCCCCTAAACGATCGGTAGTGCCTCGGCATCTGGCATATAAGACCACGGCCATAGCACAGGACCCTCTGAGCAAAAGGGAATGATCAAAGACCATAAATTAATACCCCTGTGCGATCAAGAGTGCACGGGCAGGTTAACAACACGAGCCTTGATAGGGATGAAGAGTCCTCCGCAAATGAGAGCAAAGGAAGAGAGCCCTCGATCAAAGTAGAGGGCCTCTGAGCATCGAGCATCCCGTGCCTTACCTTATAAGAGCCCTAGCAACAGCACAGGGTTTCCAAGTTGGTAGAAAAAAAATCCGAGACTTATATGAAGGACCGCTGAGCAACTGAGTGTGCCCTGACATATGGGGCCACCGAAAAACGTGTATAGAGACTTTCGGGCGAATGGGAAGAATCCGTGGAGGAAAACCTGATCGATCAACACTGTTCAGGCATGGAGGCAGGTAGTGTCCCAACAGCACATTGGGCCCTATGAGAAACTGCCAAGAGATCGAGGGCATCGTGAAAAGCTCTTTAGCGATCAGATTGACCCGGCAAATGGACATATGATGCCTGGCAACCAACAGCGTAATGCCTCTAGACGGCGTAATGAGCCACAAAGTTTCCCCCAAGCAACATTTTCTCAACCAGCGAGGAATACACTTTGTTCTCTTATGAACGTTTTACTTTTGCTAACAATGATTCTTGGTCTTCTGTAGGCCCAAAAGTGTCCAATTTCATTGTGTTTCTGGTGTAAGAAAACTGCATCAGTCCGGCCGGTTATGGGCCCGTTCGAAGCCTCTAGGACACCTCGGCATGGTCCATGGGGCGTGACCCTGTGCCTCCCTCCCCCCCCCCACCCCCTGAACCTCTGCATCCGCCACCGACCCGAGCAGCTGAATAGATGGGGCCCGCCAAGAACATAGGGCCATCCATTCAAATAAGAAATACTCACGACGCAATGTGTAGGCCTCTGAGCGATCGAGTCACATCATACCACATATTGATATTGAATGCTGATGGGTACAGCAAAAAGATCAAAAACAGCACCAATCAATCTCAAAATATCTGTTAAAATCTGCTGTTTTACAGAGGAAACCACATACATAGCCTTCACGCAGATTATAATGCAGAGTCCTAAACAACAATTAAAATGATGCGCACACAACACAAATATGCTGGTATACCTATCCATCAAATAAGATGTTGTCTATTATTTTTTTTAGACACGCAAGTGTGCTCCAGCCCCAGAAAGTGCTTCTAGAGTGTACTCCAGTAGTTTATAAGACACAAATTGGTATGCAACATTTTATTCCATGAGTTGGAGGAAGACAAACACCCTACTTTAAAAATGGAGCAGCCAGTTTTGTCAGTTTCTTGTCTCAGCTCCTTTCCATGACCAACAATGTTGCTCGATGATGTTCAATAATGCTCTAATGCAACTTAAAATGCAAATACAAATTCTGTACCCAACTCAGCTAGACACAATTCAGGCTAGACAGGATTTTCAAATAAGTGATAATCATCACCTCCCTATCCATAGCTAACCAAAATATCATTCGACATTCCAAACAAAGATTGAACCTGATATATGATCAGAACGTCCGGTACGTATCTCCTTAGCATGTCATACTCCAAGGGACAGATCCAGAGGAGGGGGCCAGGGGGCATGCACCCCCCCCCCTCTTGGGTGCCGAAGGGGCCCATCAGCTCCGAGGGGCCCCATAGCCGGCCGAACAGGTGCAGTTTTTTAACACAAGACGCAACAAAACTGGGTTTTTTGGACTTCCAGGGGACCAAGAATAGTTATAAGCAAGAGTAAAGGGCCTATGAGAAGTCGCGAAAAAATCATCAATGATTGGAAAAGCTGTGGACTGAACATTTGAAGCCTCATTACACTGTCTAGGTGCCCTATGCTGTTTCCAGGAGACCTACACGCCCGCTTGCAGGATCATTTCTATCGTCAAGGAGCATTCCATGTTCTCTTTCATTTCTTTGCGTTTGCTCGGAGGGCCCTGCGCTGTTGTTGGTGTTCCGGGGCACTCCTATCAATTACGGGCCCTTACACGGACTTTCTGCATTAGCCAGAAAGGCTCTGTGAGCTATATCCTGAGTTTCATATCTTAACCTACCGAGATAATATTGGTTGCTCAGGGGCCCTTTACGTGGTTCTCGGTTAACTTACCGACACACTTACGATTTGCTCATGAGCCCTTTACATTGGTCCAGGGCGTTTCCAGTTCTCTGTCACTTGCTTGCTTAGGACCCTACACTCTTGTCGGGGCCCATCTGATGGCCGGCCTGGGTGCACTCAGTCGTTCGAGTACCCTCCACACTGGGTCTTCGGCACTTCTTTTCTGAATGGGGGCCCTGCGCTCTTGCGGGGGCCTATCTGATAGCCTGCTCGGGCACATTCGATCCTCCAGGTGCCTTCTACATTGGGCCTTGGGCACGTGCTATTTGCATGGGGCCTTACGCACTTGTCGGAGGCTCCTGTTCGCCTCCTCGGCCACCCTGGATTGCTCGGGGGGGGGCCCTGCACATTGGTTCTTGGTGTTTGAATTTAGGGCCCTGCGCTCTTATCGAGGTCATCTGATAACCTGTTCGGGTACACTTCATCTTTCGGGGGCCGTCCGCACCGGGTTTTGGGTGCTTCTTATTTGAAAGGAGGGCCTCACGCTCCTGTCGGGCCCCCTCTTATAAGACCCTCAGGCCCATTCCATTGTGGAGGACCTCTGCATCTGGTTTTGGGTACTTCATTTTTGAATGGAGTGTCCTCCGCTCTTTTCGGGGCCCTATCTGTCAACTTGCTCTGGCACCCTCGATTATTCGGTGCTCTCTACATCGTGTCGCGAGTGTTTCACATTTGAACGGAAGGCCCTACGCTCTTGTCGGGGCCCCATCCGTTAACCTGCTCGGGCCCATTCGAGTATCCGGGGGCCGTCCACATTGTGCCTTGGGTACTTCCCATCACAATGGAGGCCTCTAAGCAATGGTCGAGACCCCATCTGTCCGCCGCCTCTGCCAAACTGGATTGTTCGGGGACTCTATATATTGGGTCTTGGTATTTGAATTTGGGGTCCTACGCTCTTGTCTGGGCCATCTCACAATCTACTCGGGTATACTCCATCTTTCGGGGGCCTTCCGCACTGGGTTTTGGTTACTTACTATTTCAATGGATGGCCCTACTCTCTTGTCGGGCCAGTTCTGATAAGATGCTCGGGCATATTCCATCATTCTGGGGCCATTTACATGGGGTCTTCGGTGTTTCCGATTCAAATGGAGGGCCCTACGCTCTTGTTGGGAGCCCTATTTGTTCACCTGCTCGGGCACACTTGATCACTCAGAGGCCCTCTACAATGGGCCTTGGGAACTTCCTACTTGAATGGAGGGCCCTACGCTCTTGACGGGGTCCTACATATTAACCTGTTCTGAACTGTGCTTTGATCAGTGCAATGGCTGTCTGTTTTATTGTGGTCCTTACTTGGCTTGATAAGTTTAAACTTTGATGTAATACATCTTAAAGTAATACAAAACTACCGTGTCCATTGAGCTATGATTCATGTTTTGACAATGTGCAAGACAAGTATTTGCAAGCTGTCTCAAATGGGGCAAATAGTGCAATTTAGTCTTAAATTTGGACCACCTTATGTCTGCCCACAGCATTTTGTCATTCACCATAGCTTCCATGATGGTCTGTGGTGATGCATATCATGAAGAGCCTGTTGTGAAGTGATCTGGGATATTTGTTGTAATTGATATAGTGTTGTCAACTTTTTGCCTTTTTGTATTATTCTTCAGTCACATGCATATCATTGTGATCTTACAAATGTGGTTAAATTATGCAACCGTTTAGCTTTACATCCTAAATATTTTTTCTAGCACCAATCTTTGTGCCAAACTAAATTGTGGTTGCATATCTGTGTTGGTTTGTGATTTTTAGTTTTTATGTGATACAGTCTCATTAAGAGTCATTCTTAATGAGTCACTATGAAGTGCGGTTTGTGGCAATTGTCAAATCAGCAGACATCACAAATTTTATGCTTCATTTAATTGTTCAAATTGCATAAATTCAAGCGTGCACTCCAGCGTTTCTTACATTTTACCGCACACCTCATGCCAACGCACCATTGCGTGCCATTAACAGTTGTCAATGGGTTTATTCAGAGCGACGTTATCAATCTCTACAAAACGTTTTAACCACGATTGCTACTCGGCTTAACTTTTATGCGGCCGGTTTGATGGCACCGACCGGGCGCCACCGTCGGCACCAGCCGGTCGCGTCCTGCCGCCGTCGGCACCGGCCGGCCGCGCGCCACCGCCGTCGGCACCAGCCGGCCGCGCGCCAACGCCGTCGGCACCAGCCGGTCGCGCGCCGTACATTACCTATTTTCGACTGCTTCTTGGACTCGGGGTATTTTGGGGGTCTTGAACTAACCTAAGGCCAAGCATGCTTTTTGTGGTTCCCTGCTTTCATGGTGTTTTTTACGGATGGGCCATTGACCATGCTTATGGCAAAATCTAAGACAAAATAGGGAAAGAATAGATATAAATCACCGGAAATATAATTCGAGCTAAAAGATGACCTGTCCTCACTTTAATGACTACCGGTATATTGAAATATGTTAGATAATCATTTTCTTTGTCGCAACATATTCGGTTGATCTTTTACGCTTATCCTCGACACAAACATGTCTCTTCTAAACGCGACATGAGGTCAACTTTTTAATGGATGACCTGGATTGTCGGGTCTGGTTTGGTGACCTGACCAACACGGGTCTAAATTTTCATGCAAGGGGTCAAATGGGCAATTTAAAGGCTGGTCAGAACTTGACAGTGCTCCACAATGCTGCTTTATCGCCATGCTCTGTGGAAATCTGGGCAGAATTTTTTCCCATGGCGATCGAATATGATGTTGCCTATGTTGCGAGGAGTTGTGATCAAGGTTCTAAACATTTCGGCTCCCTCTGTTAACCTGAAACATGGCCAAAGTTCAAGGATGAAGCGGAACTGGGTGGCTTAAGTGCGTACAGGAAGAGGACAAAAAAATGAGGGCTTACCCGATAATGTTCGTCCGCTTGCAAGGATCAGGTACTCTTCAAGTAAAGCAGGCCGAACCGAATTTCTTGAAAACTAAAGTTTTGTGTATTCCTACACTCACAACGAACCAAGGTATATGGCCCAAGGTGGAAAAACTCTATAATCTACTTATAAATGTCAAAAATTTGACCGCTTGCCTCATAAGGAAAATACTTGTACAAGTTGTATTCATCTGAGGTAGAACCAAGGTTTGTCCCTAGTTCTATTTTGGTTGAAGAAAACAATTCTCCCGCATCTTAGCTTAACTGTAAAGGGTGAACATTTTACGATTCTAATCAATCTAGCACGTTACAGGCCACACAAAGACGCAAGGTCTACTTTGTGGAACAAGTTGATGATATATGTCGGAATCGTAAAACAACATAAACATGAAAAATGTATATTTATCTATTGCAACTGATCAAGACGTGTAAAAGGTATTTCTACAGTTCTTTGTACACGCCAACGGTGTTTTCAACACAGAGAAAAAATACTTTGACCACACAAAATAGTGACAAATCCGCCGCCAGGGGCGCTGCCATCGATGTCCGCGCTCATCGCATAACGATCCACCTGGTGACTCCGTGGCTGACCTGTATCCGTCCTGTGACTCCGTAGCTGACCTGTATCCGCCCGGTGATTCCGTAGCTGACCTGTATCCGCCCGGCGACTACGTACCTGACCAGTATCCGCCCGGTGACTACGTACCTGACCAGTATCCGCCCGGTGACCACATAACCGACCTGTATCTGCCTGGTGACTACATACCTGACCTGTATCCGCCCGCTGACTACATAACTGACCTGTATCTGCCCGGTGACTCCGTACCTGACCTGTATCCGCCCGCTGACTACATACCTGACCTGTATCTGTCCGGTGACTCGTACCTGACCTGTATCCGCCGACGACTATATACCTGACGTATCTGCCGGTGACTGCGTACCTGACCTGTATCCGCCCGGTGACTACGTACCTGACCTGTATCCGTCCGGTGACTACGTACCTGACCTGTATCTGCCCGGTGACTCCGTAGCTGACCTGTATCCGCCCGGCGACTACATACCTGACCTGTATCTGTCCGGTGACTCCATACCTGACCTGTATCCGCCCGGTGACTACGTACCTGACCTGTATCCGTCCGGTGACTACGTACCTGACCTGTATCTGCCCGGTGACTACGTACCTGACCTGTATCTGCCCGGTGACTACATACCTGACCTGCATCCGCCCGCTGACTACATAACTGACCTGTATCTGCCCGGTGACTCCGTACCTGACCTGTATCCGTCCGACGACTATATACCTGACCTGTATCTGTTCGGTGACTGCGTACCTGACCTGTATCCGCCCGGTGACTACGTACCTGACCTGTATCCGTCCGGTGACTACGTACCTGACCTGTATCTGCCAGGTGACTCCGTAGCTGACCTGTATCCGCCCGGCGACTACATACCTGACCTGCATCTGTCCGGTGACTCCATACCTGACCTGTATCCGCCCGGTGACTACGTACCTGACCTGTATCCGTCCGGTGACTACGTACCTGACCTGTATCTGCCCGGTGACTACGTACCTGACCTGTATCTGCCCGGTGACTACATACCTGACCTGTATCTGCCCGGTGACTCCGTACCTGACCTGTATCCGCCAGGTGACTACGTACCTGACCTGTATCTGTCCGGTGACTACGTACCTGACCTGTATCTGCCCGGTGACTACGTACCTGACCTGTATCTGTCCGGTGACTACGTACCTGACCTGTATCCGTCCGATGACTACGTACCTGACCTGTATCTGTCCGGTGACTACGTACCTGACCTGTATCCGCCTGGTGACTACGTACCTGACCTGTATCTGTCCGGTGACTACGTACCTGACCTGTATCTGTCCGGTGACTACGTACCTGACCTGTATCTGTCCGGTGACTACGTACCTGACCTGTATCTGCCCGGTGACTACGTACCTGACCTGTATCTGTCCGGTGTACGTACCCCCGACCTGTATCTGTCCGGTGACTACGTACCTGACCTGTATCTATCCGGTGACTACGTACCTGACCTGTATCTGTCCGGTGACCACGTACCTGACCTGTATCTGTCCGGTGACTACGTACCTGACCTGTATCTGCCCGGTGACTACGTACCTGACCTGTGTCCGCCCCGTAACTCCATAGCTGACCTGTATCCGCCCAGTGACTCCGCAGCTGTCCATGCGGCTGGCTACGTTGACGGTGTCGCCCCAGATGTCGTACTGGGGTTTGGTGGCGCCCACCACGCCGGCTATCACGGCGCCCTGATCAATGCCTGCCGGGCAACGCCATGCACATGAGGACAGAGACAGTATGGGACTGATTACAACGCCCAGAACCAAGTCCGGGGACGGAGACAGTATGGGGCTGATTACCACGCCCAGAACCAAGTCCGGGTCGGGGACAGCCCCGGGCTGACTATAATGCCCAGAACCAAGTCCGGGGACAGAGACAGTCTCGGACTGATTACAACGCCCAGAACCAAGTCCGGGATCGGAGACAGTCTCGGGCTGACTATAACGCCCAGAACCAAGTCCGGGGAGGAGAACGCCTCGGGCTGGTTATAATGTCCAGATCCTAAGGCTGCTGGGGGTTGTTGATCAGCAACGTTTCACATGGAGGGAAGGGGATGGGTTCAAAGAGCGTAACGGAAGCATAATAGTGGGAGGAAGTTCTGCACTGGCTACCGTCACACTCGGGTGTGTTTCAAAATAATGAGAAACAAAAATGTTTGCGAGGCATAACCAGGGGCACGCAATTCATGAATGGCCAGCTTAAGACAGTTTGGAGCCTACTCGATGAGCACCTTCCACCTCAGCGAGCTCGCAGATACTCATTTTTCTGAGTTTGCACTATCGTAGCCGCGATAAAAAAAGTTTCCGAACGCTGTAACGGCTGCTACCGAGCCAGACACCGCTTCATGGAGTTTACATTATGGTGCATTATCCCGTAATTCCATGTTATCATGGCGTTTCCGGTTATCCCGTAATTCCATGTTGTCATGGCGACAGCGTTTCCAGCTGCAAAAAGGTGAAATCCGGGATCGTGCTCGGGCAATCGGCTCTCGTTTGGTGGTCCTGTGGCGCGCGGCGGCGCAGCCCGTGGGGCCCAGGTCACGCTGGTACACGGAAGCTGCCTGCGCCTCAACGCAAATTGTTTTGGAAAGCGAGTGGCCACGGGTTGACAACAAATAGGATGTAAATCTGATTTTCTTCCACGCCCATGGCGGAGCATTTGGATACCGTTTTTCTTCTGTTTCCATTACTTCATTATAGAACGCAATAAATTGCATTACATGACTAGTGCTTTCAGTTACCACGTGCGAACTTTACGCTATAGCCATTTGCCTCTGATATTTTCATTGCCTGAAGCGTCTGCTAAATGTCATCTCTCCCTAGCCCCAAAGACGATTGCCTCAAAATCAAAATTTATCATTTGAAAAGCTCATTGCCTTGACTATGGCAGCAATCGGCGTTTCAGGCTGTGTTTATGACCACCAGCAATCATGTGACGTGGTTCATGGGCTTATGATAAAAATTGAATGTGGATAATCCGGCATAAGATGTCTGAACACATAATGCCAGAAGCCCAGAGCTGAAGGTCATTCTCCCTTACATCACGTCACACTCCCTCCCTCCCCTTCCCCCTCTCCTCCCCAGCCGCTGCATTCCTTTCCTTCTTGCCCTCGCTATGGACGACACCCATTAATCCAGCCGAAGTGACCGCAGTGCTTCGTTTTGGCATGAACACGGCTCGGTTCACCGCTTATGACGCCAGTGAAACCCTCCGCTAATGTCCACCTCGCGAATCGAGACCTCTGGCACCACACACAGGGTAGATTACCGGTCCTGAGTTTGAAGTTCTGGAAACTCTCGCGGTTGATAACGTCCAGGGCGCCCATCAGTGACGTGGCGAACTCCACCAGCGTGATGACGTTGTGCTCCTGGCGCGCTTTATCCTATAAACGCAAGGCAGACAGGGAGGCGGGCGTCTAACGTGGATCGAGAACGATGCAAGATGTTTGGGCGACAGACCCTCCCAAAAGAGGGCTGCTAAAACTGTACCTCATTTGATGTACGTAGGCGTGAGCGCCGCCGCAACCTGCTATGTTGCGTGCTAAGCTATGCAGTTTGGAGATTTCCAGGGAGTTGCCAGTTGTTGGAAACAATATAAATTGACCGTTTCTGACCCAGCAGATGATATGTGGGTCTGCTCTGGCATGCTCACGTCAGGCGCCAGGGGTAGCGAAGCGCCATCTCCACAAGTCAGCACGTGTAAATGGAAAGCGCAGCCGGTGCTCGCCGAGGGCGCCACCGGAGCGCGCCAGTCGGCCACGGCGAGGGCGCGCGGAGACAGCGGCTGCGACCGGGAGTGGAGCCACCAGCCGTGCTGCCACCCACCTCCTCCTTGCCAGGCTGCAGGCCGGACGACGCCATGTACGTGCTGCCGATTGTTTTAATTTTCTCCACAGTGCTGTATTTCGGCTTGAGCAGGAGCTGAAAATTCGGTTAAGGTTCAGATGCTGAGATTGCCTGGTCCTAGGCTCCTCCGTTCGCAGTTATAATTTAGATGCACAAGTGCTCAAGAAGTAATATGCCACTTCAGTTATTAAACAAGAGAGCTTGCGGGTTTCGGGAATTGTTCACTACTCGGTATTGTCATGCGTACCAGGATGAACCTGGTGTGCCCATGCTTAAAGCCCATCAATGCTACCGTACCGAACTATACATCACATGGTTATACCATCAACTGCATGTACCATCACCATCTCTGCTGACCTTGTCAAAGTCACAGATGATCTCGTTGAGCAAGCGCAGGCACTCCAGTCCCTGTTTATTAACGTCCGTTTCATCGTAGAACTCGCGGTAGTTGGGTATGGATGCGAACATGACGGCCACAGAGCTGTACCGCTCGTGATACAGGCCCTGTTGACACAGCAGCACTGGTATTAGGTTTGAGGTACGGGGCAAAGTATTCAAGCATGAACCCGGTGCGGGGGTGTGTTCGAACAGTCCACTTTTAGGCTTCTTTGAAAGTCACATGTCCACTAAGGTGTCATCGGTGACAAAATCAAGTGAGACAAAGAAAATATTTGGCGCAGGAGCCCAAAAGTACACGGCATAGCAAAATTTCTTCCCAGAAACTTAGATTCGTGAGGCACGAGTCGATCGAAATATCACCATAAACCCAAGCCCGGCGTTGCAGTCACCCCATGCTGGGCGGCGTCCGCCGCCGCAGGTAACACCGGGCCGTGGGCGACAAGCGTCACAAAATACCTTTGCGTATAGAAATGATGCTACCGAGCACTCCTTAAGTCGTCGTACGAGAATATTCCGCTCTACGGTCTAATATGCGGATCAGATACTGCCCGATTGATTGCCATTTGGCGGAAACTTTATGTGCTGTTGAGTATGAACTCGTACGAGCATGCTGGTTAGCATTGCTTTAAGCCTTCACTTCTCTAAGGCAACTGACGTGATGCAAACAAAACTACGTGTAACATGACTCAGAATATATTGTCTGGTGTACCATTTAATACATACAGCAAGTTCTGCAGCCTGTACCACGAACGTAGAGGGCGGGTGGGGTGGGCGGTAGGCTGAACCCATGCACATCTTGCTTCTTGCCGAGCCCGTGTATTCGATGCGCCGGCCCAAACAGCAACTACTCACTGACAGGAAACCCAAAATGCGCATTGGGAGAGATCGCACGGTAGCAGAACTACCTTTGCAGCTGGCTCCATATCTTGCCGAAGCTCCAGCTCCAGACCCAGACGTCCTCGGCAGTGCGGCGCTGGTTGCATTCCTTGTGTGAACCAGATAGGGCGAGATTGCCTGTGGAGCCTGCACTTTGTTCCGCAGGTCGCATTCGCGGAGGTCTCGCAGCGGAGGCTGTGTGACTGGTCCGTGCCAGCGAATCAGTTCTTTGCACCTCACGGCCTCAAACTTTACCGCTGACATGGCGAAGACTATGTGCTGAAGAAGACCGGAACGCGACGTGCGACGATCGACGATCTGCGGTTCTCATCCCACACCATGTCCAGCAGTAGCTGTTCCGGACGGACCCAGTACCTGTTACGTCGAAGGACTGGCTGCACCGTGGCCTGTTTGTGCTGCGGCAGGTCGCGGAGCAGCGCAATGCTCCGGAACAAGTTGCGTAAGCCAATGTCGCAGCCGCTTTTTTGCCGGATGGCAGACCATACCGGCACGTAGTGGCTGGCCACGCACTGGACGAGGTTCTTGACAGCGCCGCTGGAGGTCTCGGTAGAGATGTGAACTAGGAGTAGACGAGCGGCCAGTGTCAACCATCTGAAAAAGCTAATGCATTAGAACAATCCGCTACGAACTGAGCATTAGACTATACAAAAATGGTTGCGCCTCTTTAGTGTATGTAATTATGCCGATATCTAGATCCCTTAAATGTGACGGAATACATATAAACAAATATGCTAGTAAGCATGAACCAGCTAGCAAATGATGCGACATACTACGGCACAAGGTATGACAATAAGTAAATGCTCAACAGTGAGCACGTGAAATATCAATTCATACTTGATCAATTTAAACACTTATTGTTATATCTTCGAAGATACTGCGTTTTCATATTCACCTGACATGGTTCGATGGTCCCGATTCGCCGCTGGGCTGCCAGGTTTCGGACGGAGCCGTTTTGAACGCCGGAGGCCAGAAGGTATAGCAGCTGCTGGTTGGTGCTCAGCTGCTGAATCAGGTCGAATCAGGCTGAATCAGGCACGTGCCTCGACCTAGGCTTGGATGGCACAACGTCCCTCTCCCAGACCTCTCCGGCAGAGGTCTTGCCAATGGGTCCATTAAAAAATTTGATCCCGTTGTCGTGCCGTCCAAGCCCAGCAGCAGATAGGTGGGGTTCAGTTCGTTGCCACGCAGCTGGCAGATGAACCAATGTACGGGTGACTCGGTGGCCAGCTCAAACGGCCGGAACACGTCGCCTATCGTTTCGGTGTTGACGGCCGTGCCATCGCAGCCGAGCACATTAATGTGACTGTCGCACTGCGGGCTCACGGAGTGTACCTCATTGAACAAGTGCAGGGCGCGGCCGAACTCGGACGTACAATGAGTCACGTAGCGACTGCCCGGCTCAGTGATGACAACCACGTGTTTCTCGACGGCATTCGTCTGGCTCCGCGTGGCTCATGTAGCTCCTGCCTTCACGGACGTCGGAGCAGAGGATGGTCAGACCTCACTCGTGGATTGATTCAAAATTTTAACGAGTCGTGTCCTTTCTGTCTGTCTCTTGCGCAGCAACTCTTTTTAGGATCTACAGTATTTAATTTCAAGTAGCCAGTCGGTCTCTGCTGTCTTGTTGAAAGGCGTTGATGATATCAGTAACGGCCCGGTTCGAGCCACCGCAGCTGTCAACCGCCAGAGCGGTGTTGGTCAGGTCGTTGACGGTATAATCTATAGTGGCAGTGGTCTCAACCGGAACGAACAATTGGCGTCGTCACCACCTTCTACCATATACGGAACCAGTATAAGAGCTCGTGTTCTCGGCTGGCTCGCCACCGCTGAGACCACTTGGTCCCGGAGCAGGCTCGGGGTCAGCGCTAGCAGCCAGCGCTGGCTCGGCAGTCGGCGTGGAAGGCGACTAAGGTTCAGCAGCGGACACTGACTCCTTGGCGGCCGAGTCACGACGCCCCTGGAGTTGTCTGGCCATCTTCTGCACCTCGCGAGCTTCCCTAGTCACAATCGTATCCCGGTCATACGATCCCAAGGTTAACTTCCGGTGCCTGCACTGGTCCTTTATGGCAGCCTCCTCCTGACACACTGTGCAGGCAACTGGGCTTGAGAAACTGCACTGGGACTTGCGCTTGCATTTCGCGACATCAAGAAGCCTGTTGAATTGCGCGGTGGCGGCGTTGGGGTCACCCTCTTTCTTCCTTTGATTTCTTACAAGCCGCTCTGTTGGGGTGATATCAATCCCCTCGATCAATTTTGTCATGTATTTTATATCATGAACAGGGATCACTTCGTTGCTCCATGGTACCCTGATTTCTACCCTCGCGGTCTTGAATATGACATTAGTGAGATTCCTCTTCGATTGGCTCAGCCACCTGATATAGTGCAATGCTTTCCCGTAGTCGGCAGTTGGTGGTGAGACCAGAGCCGGCTGGCCCATCACAAAATATTTTGTGCGTGAACGTGTAGCCCTCGGCATTCTTATGCAAATAAGTGCTCGAAAGAAATGTTTCAGCACCGGCAAAACTAAACTTATAAACACATCTCCCACGTAAAAAGCCCATAAATTGTAAATAAACATCACAATGATGCATTAGCGATAACAAACTTGAGCCAAACCCGGTCTTCTAGAGCATTCTCATAGCTGCAAAGCTTTGGGTTTTTCCAAAAATTAATGTTCCATGCTAAAAAGTCAGCCTAAAAACTGTTTAGCAATGTTTTGCTGGTGCTCTTCATGATATTTATTTCATACTTAAACCATCAAGTACCAGTGGTGTGGAAAGTGGCAGCTTTGAGGCTTGTTGGAGGATGAGCCCAGTGCGTAAAATAGGTGGCGCTAGTATCGAATGCGTTTTTTTTTTGCCCACCAAAGAAAAACTGCTCTCGCCTCACGAATATCAACATTTGTGCAGTGCGACAGACCTGAAAGTTTACTATTAATCCGCGTGCCAGGGAGAAACTTTGTCTCAGCTGATTCCAATAGATTCAATCCTCAATGACACACCCTAAAGTCCACTTTGTCCACACGCTTCAGTTTGGACGATACAGACACTAAGTGCTCGGAAACAACCCTGACAAATCCTTTCAGCTCCCTGTTTGACTGACCTTTCACAAATTTCTTCCAGCACTCTGTTTCATTAAATTCCACCAAGATTATTTTAGCTCCCAGCTTGGCTGAACCCAAACAAACTACTTAAAGCTCTCAGTTTGATTGCAGCTAAGCGTGATGTGCGGCGATCTACAGACCCAGAGAAATAAACCATTCTGTATTGCGCTCTTGCTCCTCTTTCCTCCCCGACAAGGTTATTAGTTAGGGGGTTGTTAAAGGCGCAGTCAGCATCCCGTTTGTGTATGCACTGAATTTCTGTACCGGCCCCGCAGGTAGTCCGCCACACATTACCGCCGACTTCAACCCTGATCCCTGACCATTGACCGTTGACCCCTGACCCCGAACCACAACGCCAGTCCGTTCCCGCGCAGCCTACCACCGTTGTCTGCGCTCCAGCCAATGCAGCCTCACCTCCATTCCCTTGCTGCTGAGGAAGTGGGAAGCGACGTGGTGCGGCAGAATGTTCTCCAGCAGCACCTTGTTGATGCCGCGCATGGTTTCCACATCCTCCTGCTCGCAGCGCTGCTTGCTGCGCCAGAGGAAGTCTGCGCGGGCGTTCCGCTCGGCCTGCCGGTCCAGCGCGTGCAGTAGGCTGCAGGCGGCCACCAGCTGCAGCAGATGGAACGGCCAACCTCCTCCGGCAGTCGTCTGGCACAGCACCAGCAGGTGCGCCATGCAGCTGAGCAGCATCAGCGCCAGCTTCAGTAGGAAGTTAGCGCGCAGGAAGACCAGCGTGATGAACAGGGAGAGCAGGGTGGCGAGCAGTGAGCACTGTCGGCGCAGGCAGGAAGAATGTCAAAGACTGTCGATTGGGTGCAAACTGAAACCTTCACTTCAGGGCTCTTTTCAGGATCGGTGCAAACTGCAATATTTTTTCAAGGCTTTTCACGGGCATAAGCTGCGCTTTGAGGTGACTAGATGAAACATAATTAATAGATAAAACGTTTCTCTTAGCGGAATAGAATACATAGCGGACACGTGTCCAGTACGCGTGTGACGTCACAATAGACCGTGTCCAGTACGTGTGTGACGTCACAATATACCGGGACGCGTCTACAGCCGCACCAACAATGCAGCCCTGGTGGCCACATCAGCCGAGCGGCGAGGATGGCATGACCCAACTGACCTCTCCCGGGGGACGCGTTTACAGCCGCACCAACAACGCCACAGCAGCCGAGCGGCGAGGAGGGCATGACCCAACTGACCTCTCCCCGGCGTAAAATGTCAACAGGCGGCAGCAGTACCGTGTTGCTGGCGTTGATGGTCGCCAGCGACACCGGCAACACGCTTGGATCTATGTCATCCATCTGTGGAATCAGCCGTAAGAGCTTATAGATGTCAGATGCTCTTCACGGGCACGTGCGGTCGATGGGGAGTTGAGCGTTGAGTGCACAAATGTCCATGTCAGCATGCAACACACTGCATTGCTTGCTAACCGGCTCTTGTCATAAGCCCGCCATATTAATATGCATTCAATGACGCTGACAACGTACCATGGTAACAACGGCTGACGCGGCGGCCAGGAGTGAGGCGGCGACGACCAGCGCCGTCTGTAGGCCGACACTTAGTATCGGTTTGCCACGGACAGATGGCGTGGCGGTCACGCCGGCTCGATCAGGTTGTAGGCTGAGTACTAGCCGCGCCAGCGCCAGGACCGCGAACGTGACAGAGAAGGTGCAGTAAGCCAGCAGAGACCTGCCGGCGCCAGGCCCCGCGTGACGGGAGCATTGCAAGGCACAGTAGGCCGATGGAGGTCTGGTATTGCCGGGCTCGATGGGAGGCTGTCATTGGCTGCAATGAACCCTGGGTTAAGCTACAGATCCATCTACATACATTATGATGTGTTAATGTACGACTGCGTTTACAGGCTCACCGTAAATGAACAACGCGAGCGCGCCTACAGGATTTGTATTCTAAGTTGGGGGAAGCCTGGGGCTAGTCTCAGGACATCGTCGGTAATACGCTGGGTTAAGTGCCATCCTAGAATCGTCTTTTCAAGCTAGCATTAAAAATAGGTCCAAGCCGACTGTTGCAGCTTGAGCCCTGCCAAATTATAATTCAATGAAGCTACAGTTTAGCAGTTCACATCGCGCACTATTTCAACCAAACCGCAGGTATACAACTTGAACAACGTAAACACCAAGTTTCCCAGCGTGGTTACCACGGAACCACTGATGCGAGACACGCTTCGATGTAGGTTGGTTGCCTACCAGCCACTAAAATCTTAACCTGCTTATGTTCTGCTTAGATGAAAACGGCCATAGGCGCCCTCCACAGGACTCAAATTACATATGATAAGCCTTGTCAATCCAAGTGTAGAACGCGGGGCCATTTTCCTAAAAAAAGTTCAAGTACAGTGGAACATTTGGCACGTAGTGTACCCATATTGCTGTAAGTCACATTGCTACGCTCTTAGCCGTAGTGGATGGGTTGTAGCACTGTCAATGAGGCAATTTTAAAACAACATAACCGCATCTCTCTGAAACGTTCAGTTAACAGCAGACATATTCTTTTGCACTACCAAATGCACGTTATTGGTAAGTCGTTTTCATTGACATTGGTGCGTACTTCGAGGAGGTGCTCGTTCGATCTGCGCCGCTGAATGCTGCCGACAATGAGCAAACTCGAAAAATGAGCGACGACGCCGGCAGGAGACGCTGCGGCACCGAGCCCCAGCTGGACCGCAGGGCACGACCAGGTACGGCATTATCTGCAGACTTCAGCAGCAGTGATCATGACAATGCATGCCGCTTCATAACCCTCCAATGTTTTGGCTGGTTCCTCCTTAAAACGCCAGCGGAGGTCTGAAAAGCGCGGGCTTTCTCCGATAACCATTTGGAGTGGACGTACTAACACATGATTGGAGACGGCAAAAGCACGTCTACTGGGGACACGCATTTTGATTGCATCGTAGCTGCAACTTACAAAATGTTAAAGATAACAAAGCCACAGACACATTTCGACATCAGTCGCTCGCAAAAGTTGTTTTAAGCATTACTGAAATGGAATCCTGTTACGCATCGACCAGAACCATGGACACTTCACCGTGGCTGCAGCCAGCCACAAACGGTCAGGTGCCTGAGATATAATGCTTGATAAAACGTGACGAAATGATTGTCCAAGGCAGCCCGACATCTGGCCTGGTCCGGCGGTAGGCACGGATCGGGCCGGCAGACACGGACCGGGCCGGCAGACAAGGACAGGGCCGGCAGACTCGGACCGGCGGCAAATGCGGACCGGACCGGCAGACACGCAGAGGGCCGGCGGCAGTCACGGACCGAGCCGGCAGACATGGACCGGGCCGGCGGACACGAACCGGGCCGGTGAACGCGGACCGGTCCGGCGGCAAACATGGAGCAGGCCGGCAGACACGCAGAGGGCCGACGGCAGTCACGGACCGGGCTGGCCGACACGGACCGGGCCGGCCGACACAGGCCGGGGCGGCCGGCCGGCCGTCAGCACGCCTGTCTGAATAATGCATGCGACGCCGAGCCAGCTCGTGCCGACAAGTCCGTAATGTGAGGGACAGGCGTGGTTCCAGCCTGTTACAGTTCTATTTTGGGTCAGCTCGTGCGCGCGGGCCCGTGCAATGTTAAAGAGCGCCCCCCCCCCCCCCCCCGTGTTAAGGTTCTGAGCCAGTGTCCTAGAATTGCCGACTTTGGGTGTCAAGCATCACCCTACGAGGAAGAATTCTTCACTCTTTTTTCCCAAATTTAATGTGAATTTCTCACTCCTGCCTGATACTGTCTAATCGCACATGCCAAACCCCTATTTCCCTTCCTGAGGTTTTTGAGATGTCATCCAAAACCGAGCTCACTTGAAACCACCAAGCATAAACGAGGCTCCACAGAACCTGAACACCTATGGCTATGTCCTGCCTCACCTACATCTGAATCATGTCTATGTATGCAAAGAGCAAGGGCGCCAGGTGCCTTAAGCCCAAGAATCCCAGTGACTCCAGCCGTTTGCACGCATTAAGTTCGGTTTGTTTACAAAATGCATCACAACCTGCAGCTGCGTGCCAAATGCAAGGTTTTCACGCATCCCTCTTTTTTTCTTTTTTCACCACCACATCACGAAAGCAGAGCCTGGTGCAACACCAGCAAGGCCTGGTAGAGAATTTTACTGCACGCATTTATTTTTTCTCGAGGAAACCTGACCATTAAATTGCATCACTCCCAAAATGCACGAGTGAAAAGTTCAAGAAATGTCTTCTTAATTACATTTACAAGATGGATATCACTATTTGAGCAGTTATGTTAACAGATTTTAAGTCAAATCAGCTGATAACAAAATGTTGCAGAAAAGTATCAGGCTTTATATTTATTTAACTACTTTTTTTCTTGGTATCATACGAGTGTGATACCACTTTATTCTTCCTTCCTTTCCGATTGCCTTTAAAGGTACCATCTGTTGCTTCAAACGTTGACCAATTTCTCTGCAAGATGCTCCAACTGCAAATCTGTACGTATTTGATACACAAATTGGATTAATTCGCCAGCCGCCCAAACATGTTTGATACGCACCCAAGAGTGGACAATTCACATGGAATGAAGGAGACAATTTAAAGCACGGAACTTATTTTTACCGCCACTTTTGCTCTGCTAAACCCTCAGTCAACCGTTTTCTTGGTACATGGCGGTGTTCAATAAGGATAAATATAAGCCTTTCGAGTGTCTAAATCACCAGGCTACCTGACAAGGCTATCCTAATGCTGCCATACAGAGCTTTGGGACAGACCTGACGAAGCTAATACAGAAGTGTTTGATGGTAAAATTCTGCCCTCTGGAGATGTTTATCACGCACACCTTTTACTTGTTTCGTATTTTAATCTCGTAGGTTGGTAGGTGTAACTGATATTTATATCTGGGGGGGGGGAGGGTGAGTGGGATGACTCTTTCTGCCAGCAGACCATGCAAAATATACTGACTTTTTTCGGAGGGAGCAGGAAGAAGCCAGTGAGTTTCCTGCGGACCAAGTAATTGCTTACCTTACCTGCTTTCAAAACATGTTTGGCAACCAGAGTTAGGCATTTTCTGTTTAAATCCATCGAGTTTTGTCGTAAGACAAATTATGATGCCACAAGGCACGCAATAGGCTTATTTTGTTTCATATTCTTGATTATTTGCCCCAATTTCTTGAAGTGGCCCCTCATGTTTGCTTCAACCAGATGCTTTCTATAGCTGCCATGGTTTGCTGACTGGCAAATGTATATGTATATATGCACTATATTTTTTACACGGGGATACTCTAAGCTGCATAGCAACTATAACTTGAGTCAAATATTAGTATGTAACACAAAGTCAGACCATCTCATTTAAAATGTGAAGTCAACGTCTCAAATTTTGTCATTTAACATGAATAAACAAGCCTTAATAGATGCATTTGCTGCAGCTGACAAGGCAAACAGCAATACTGGCATGGTAATCTAAAAGTTATGTTACTTTGGGAGAAGAGAGATTGCTTCGTGGAACACACCCATTATTGCCCTTGATATAGGTTAGCCATGGTAATCAAAATAACTTCTTCAAATTGATTTGAAGTGTTTTGTTTTGCGTGCTGTCAACTTTGTCTGGTGTAAACAACCATACACAAATTATACGAATAAAAATGCAAGTTGAAAGTAGCCAAAAAGCAGCTATATCACGTATTTATCACAAGTGCTGCTGTCAACAGGTAGGTGAATTGAGTTGCTGTTCAACATATGGGCTACTCTAAGTTAGGTTAAGTTGGTTAATCGTATGCCAAGTGGCAATAGGAATTGTGCAAGAATCATTGACTCAAAATATGGAAATAAGCATTGGTATTTTGTAAGAAACAGTGACAAAATGTTTGTTTTCCCTGACCCCATCTTAAGAGAAGCCGGAGGTATGTCTATTGTGCTTGACTTGGTGTTGGGTGATGTGTAGGTGTCCAAGGTTTTTGTGTTTGAGTGTTTTGTGCTTGTTGAATTTTCTGTTGTTATTTTGCTTTTGAACTCCTTTGCCTTGTTTTGTGTTAAAAGTGCTTTGGAAGGAACTGCAAATTGCATCATCAAATTATTGGGGTTAATAATTATCTATGCTCATTACGCCGCCATGAAATTACTACGCTTTAATGTATTCTGTTTCGCTTAAATGGCCAAGATGTTAAAAAACAAAACCGTTTTGTCAGGTTTCTGATACTACGCCCATGCCAACTTGAAATGAATGCCTTTGTTTGCTGAAGCATCAGTCACAAGCTCATAAGTTCCATCTCTTGTGAAATGACTTTTTTCACTCCCGCACGGTCTTTTTGTGGTGGAATTTTTCACTCCCACCCTAGTTCAAAAGCGATTCTAGGTCCCTGTTCTGAGCTATAGCCCGCGTAGTGACCCAAAGAAACGATCCACAGCCTAATGTGTAGTTTTTTTTTAGCACACACTGAGTAGGGGAATTCGAGGCATTTTGTTTCTGTGTGAAGAACGGGATTCCCTTTCAATATGTCAAGGGGTATGTGTGTTTGTGTACCATGTAAGGCACATGTACTACACGACGCCTTCGTGTGTATGCCATTTGCACCTGAGACCCATGTCCACCTTGTGTTTCTGCTAAACTCTCTCCCTCTCTCTCTCTCTCTCTCTCTCTCTCTGGAGAGAGAGAGAGAGAGAGAGAGCTAGAGAGAGAGAGGCGAAGGAGAGAGAGAGATCTCTTCTGTTAGAGCTCTCTCTAGAGAGC